AAAAACCACCCTTATGGGGCCTTGTCCCGCATGGGGGGCGGGGGGCGCGGGCAGGAGGACTCGCGTTCCTCAAAAGTGTGACCAGAAGGAAAGGTATTCACACACACACACACCCCCTCTTCTTGGGATCTTAAGCTAGGCCGGACAACCATTCCCTGAGCAGGGAGTGTTGGCCCGGAGCTGCGTCTCAGACGACAACCGGTGCTCAGCTACTCTCGGTCGCGCCTCTCCTGGAAGCTAGCCGGCCTCGCTGGGCTGCTCCCGGCGCTTTGGCGCGAAGGGGAGCTGAGTGCGGCCGTGCCTTCAGTGCGCCAGACGCTCAAGAGTCGCCTAAGGGGGCGGGGGAGGCAAGCAGAGCGGATCTGCCAGAACAGCAATCAGTGCAGCTGTTTCTTCCTGCAGGATAGACCTGGCGGAATCCCTGGGCCTGAGTCAACTGCAGGTGAAAACCTGGTACCAAAATAGAAGAATGAAATGGAAGAAAATAGTAAGTGTGCTGTCTTGATGTTCAGATTATGAAATTTTCACCCAGCCCATATTTACACAGGCAACCTGAGGAAGACTACCATCCTATCAAACATGTTCTTGAAAAATATTCCCAGGGCTTCAGCCCTTCCCAGGGATCCCTTCCTTTGAGGCACAACTCCCATCATCCCCAACCAGCATGGACATTCCACATTGGAAAAAGAAACTGAGTGCATGAGGAGGCCTTCCTCATGCAATACAATACAATATGAGGCAGGATACAATAGAGAGGCAGGAATTTTGGCTGGCTCTCCTCATTCTGCAGTGGACTGATCAGGTGGGGCAGGGCAATTTTTCCCATCTCAAGGGCTTGTTATAGCTGGACCAAAGACTGAAAGGCTGCTTGTAGCTCCTCACAAAAATAGGGCTGCTAGGGAGAAGCAGGTGCTGGGTGGGGGAAAGCCTTTTCATGAAGTGGGGAGCCAGCTGGTTTTATGAGCAATTCCCCCACCCCCACCCCTGCCTTAAGACACAGCCAGACTGGAATAGCCAGTGGGATATGCTCAAACTACAGATGTGGGGCCAGGAGGGGACTTAGGGAAGGGGCGGGCTAGCCTTCCCTGGAGCCTTCAGCTAGAGAGGAGAGATTCTTAGACCAGCTCGGAGTCAAGCCTGACTTGAAGGCAAAAAGAAGACTTTTGATTATGCAAAAAGTATAGGATTGTGCATGAAGATTATCATGATTAACCCAACATTGTCTGACCAGAAGTGTTGAGGCCATGTCTTATCCCATCTCCAGCCATCTGGTCTTCCAGATGTTGGAAGTTGTGGTCCAGTGTACTCGAAGGGCAGCCGACTGGGGAAAGCTTCTTCACAACGAGCTTGTTGTGCCGTTCTTTGCATTCAGGGAAAATTCCTGGGTTGAAATGCAATGTCTGTACTGGGGGTGTTTAATCCGTTTCCCTCAAAGTGCTGCACAGCATTTAGAGAGTAGAAGCTGATTTTCCAAGCAATACCCGGAAAGAGGAAAGGCTGCCATCTTCCTTAACCAGCACTTCTTAAACCTGAATGAAACGTAACCTATGCTCCCATTGTTTAAAATTAGTCACCCGTAGCCCATTTGCTTCAGGTGAAGCTATTGTTTATTTACCCCAATTTCTAACCACATCCATGTGGAAGTGAACTTGACTGAAGCAGTTGAACCTGTCTCATTCACGATGACTTTGCTTAACCTTATTATTCCTCAACCTTTTACAGCAGAATATGGGAGAGGCAGAGAGAAGGAGGAAAATAAGGTTCTAGTGGCCATGGGGACCGAGGTTCCATTTCAAGAAAGCCCCTGGCCATAAGACTCAGTGGGGAAAAACATGCAGTGATGGGATTTGTTTAGCTTTGGCTTAGGGTGTTGTCAGAACCCAGCCAACTGTGGCTTGTAAATGATGGTTCATGGCTTAATATTCCATCAACTGTGGTCTATGCACTAAACAGTGGCTAAAGGAACCTGGCTTAGCGCAATGTGCAAACCCAGTTACTAGAACAAATGAAAGCAGAGTGCCTGCCAAGGGGGCCTTTCCCAGGTGGTCTAATGGCAGGCTGCCTGCAGCGCGATGCCTCCCGACCTAGAAAGCGAGGGTGGAAGAAGAGACCCTCCCGTAGTCCTTATCTTTCCCCAATCTCCATGCCTCCAGCTTCTGTTCCAGATGGCAGGCTACCTCAGTTTTCCTCTTGAGATATCGGCATTCTGGGATTTGTAGTCCTGACCTAGTGGGAGGAAGGACAGCACCCTCTCTGTCCCTGCTGGGCTGGAAGTGAGCCTGTTTTGCCAGCCTCACGGACTGGCCATCATTTTGGAAGTGACCATTGCGTCGTCTCCCTTTGGACAAGAACTGAGGCAGAAGTCAGGAGAATAGCGACCCGACCCGCAGTTGCCTAGACCAAACAGGCCGACAACTCAGCTCTTTTCCGGGCTCAGCCGCTGAGACCAGCGAGATGCTCCCAGTTCAGTCTTGCTCCAGGGGAGGCCTGAGGCCCCTGAGGGGCTTGCTCCGCAAGGAGAAATGGTGCCTCTCATGTTCACCAGCCTCAAATGCAAGAGGGAGGAAGGAATCCAACAGGATTCCTGAGGAGAGTTTTTCTCAAGGTGTATTGCCGGGGGGGGGGGGGGGGGGGCG